TTTATTGCTTATTTTGGAAAGATCATCAAAATTTTAAAATTGAAACAATTGGATGTGTACTTGTGACCGGCACTGTATATATGCTGAAATGGATTTTGCGTTAATTTTCATCTCACGAAAACTAGTTTTTGGTGTAGCTGCGTATGAAGCAAGTGATTTAAAAGAGAGAGGTTGGGAATTATTATATAAAATCACATGACTACACTCTACCCTTAATCAATTTTAATGCTAATTAAAATGTTATCCAAATGATCTAATTATTTGTCTGCTCATCCTGTTTTGTTTGTGTTTCTTATTATAATTAATTAGCTATATTGTTGAATAATAGAGAAATACTCATTTCACGTTAGAAAAAATATATATATATAATAAATTTCAGCATTAGAATAAATTATTAATTTACCATCAAATTTAGTCACCCAATTTATATAATTATTATTAAACTATATAATAAAAAACTCTTCCAGTTGTTAATGACTTCATTCATAATATAGTAAATGGAAACAAATTTTGGTTTGTAAAAAAAAAACTTTTTGGTATTTTTTTTATTCATATATTAGATCCTCACAACTTAAATAGGATTGGAAAAACATATAGTAATGAAAAACAATACAATTTTGTCAAATAAATGTCCAAATGAATTTTTTCTCAGAACTGTTTCCAAGGCGGGATTAGGTATCTGTATTTTTGATAACTCTCCCTGCATAATCAATAGATAATCGTTATTATTATGTTGTATGCATTTTAATGAAACTGTGCATTTTTAAATGTGTATATGCTAGCTATTGACTAGTGTTGGTTTCCAAAACTCGAGAGTTTTGCAACCATGCAAAAGTCAAAAGGTTTCGCCATAAGTCAAAACTAGTTTTGATTTTTGACTATTGACTTTTGATTTAGTTTTGACATATAACTTTTAATTTTAGTTTTGACTTTCACCTCTTCAAAATAGTTTTGGTGACCAACACTACTATTGACCAAATTAGATTAATATCTCATGCATGTACATTGTGAAAATTTTTTTCGATACACATATCTTCCAGACTTTTGAAAATGTGAAAACCATTTAAAAGGGCAGTATTATTTATTAAGCATAGTGGAAGTTTGTTGTTACACGAAAGTTTATACATACCCATTGCTCTTGAAACTTCACCAGCATATAATTGTTACCTATCTAAATTGGAGATCAAGTTCAGATCTGATTCAAATCCAGTTTATCACTTACTTTTTATTGCCAGAATGTTTGTTGTGTATTGTAAAGCTATGTTGCACAATATAAAAAATTAGTGTAACATTTAGCTTATTTATTATTTGGGGCATACTGCAACAAAACCAGACAAAGTGAACATTTGTATTACTAACAATTTCAGGGATCAAAATTCAGTCATTTGTAATGTGATTATAATTAAAAGTTTTATAATATCCCATTTTGTTATCTTAATATTAAGTGATATATAGAACTAACCCCCCTCCCATATAAAAATAATTGATATTGTGAGCATGTAAATTCCAGCTACACAAACTCACGATGTGTCCAATAAAATATATAGATAGATAATCTAATATTCCAATAATGTATTTTCAATACAGCAGACCCAACCGACTTATGTATTTTCAATACTAAACTAAAACTAAATTAAAACTTCACGGGATTTCCTAAACAAATACAACACAAATACTCTAGGTGCCTGCCAGCCGTTCCCCTAGACCAAATTCCAAAGATATGTATATAATCCTGAATGCTTTCTAGGTGGGTGCCTTCTTAACCGTTTCTCCTGTCTTACCTAGTCATAATGATGGTGGCCGAAACTAATCCATAGTTTAGGCATTTAGGCAATTTTGGTTTAGGCCTAATTTTACCCTTGAGAATATTAAACATCCAGTCAGAATACAGTGTGTAACAAAAAAAATTGACCTCTAAATTTGTTTTCTAAGAAAGTAACCAAAATCCAAAGCCGCATAATAAAAATTATGTCAAAGAATTAAAAGATCATAAATTATTACATTAAAAATTTTGAAGCATATTATTATGTAGGCTTTAGAGCAATGATTAAAAAACTTTGCATTGAAATTTTTCTAGTTGAATTTCTTTTATTTTTAATTGACAAATTTCTAGAACATATAGTTTTATATAAATGATCTTCAGAACTTAAGCTACAAATTGATATATATTTTTTATATGATTATTATGTGTGTTTTTGTGTTAAAGCAATTGTTAAAAAGTTTCATGTTAAAATTTTGGAGACAAAAATTTAAAAAAATTTAAAAAAAAGAGACATGATTTGACCTTACAAAAAATTGGCAATAGTATTTTATATCGAGTTTTTTTTATTTAATAAAGTAATTGATTGACTTTTAAATGAATCTAATTTTGTTTAACTATCTCATGTATTTCTTGGGTAGTTTAATTCTTGTGAGGTCAATTTTTTTCATTACACACTGTACATTTCATGATTTTACAGTGCATAAAGCAGTAAAAACTTGTATGAAAACGGGTTATCTTCCCATTAGAGGATTTAGCAATTCAAAAGGGAATAATTTGCCAACTGAGTACTGTTTTAATCGCATTCATAGAAATGTCAACTTCAAATTCAAACTGATGAAGAAACAGAAAGATTTAATTCAATATTCCACTATTGTCGAAACATTTTGGTAGTAAAACTAAGTTATAAAAAGCAGAAAATAATTTTAATCTTGTAGAAGCATATTATTTACTTTTTTAAAATAATAATAATAAAACCATTACAAAAATATATTTTTTTGTAGTGATCTTGTGTTAATCCATTAACTTTAATAATACATTGTTTACCATAAAAAGCAGCATAATTTTTGAGCTAAAAAAAAATATATCGAATTTCAGAATAATATTTTAAAAAATCTGAAACTAGTATTATAATTTAAAATAATAATAAAGAAATTATCCATCGATAACAGGTGGGACCGTTCTGGGAACACAAAAATTAACAGGAGGGAACACAAAATTTTAACCCATGCCATTCGTTGATT